TATTAACTGTCACACCAAAGCCAGTGATTCTAAGTCTTAAATTGACAATGATGTATTCAAGTAAATTCTCCCCAACCAGAGGTCTGGCTATTAAAAAAACTCTAAAATTATACTCTAAGTATTACAAATTAACTCTCCACACAGCTGCGTGAGGGATCTTCCAGGAATGTTGATGTTAGTTTCCAGAGAATTTATTGGAAAGTGATGATTTTATACCAGTTGATCTCTAATGTGGGTCATAACCTGCTCTGGTGCAGTGAACCACCATCATAGTACTGATAACCCAAGGTGAACCCTGAAGTTACCAGGATAAGATGAAACTGAGGCTTCAGAAAGTTGCTGACCTGAAAAGAGGTGCATAGCTACAGCACAGTGTATTTCTCTGAGCCCAGGCTTAAAGTAGCTATAAAGTTATGTTATGGTCTGTTTGAGATATATATTTTTGATTAAAAGATGTCAATAAACCATATGCCTAGCTGTATCCACAGCCCTGACATTGTGTTAGTAGAAGTAAAGCTGTCTCAGTTGGATGTTTGCTGCTAAATAAAATCTTAACAACCTAAAGATGCCTCGTTGTGTTCTGCAGTTGGTCTTTTTTATGGAAAGCATGCCAGCCCTTTCATTAAAGCCTCTTTCAGATGATCCGACATGTATCACCTTTCTAACCTCTTACCTGACTTTCATCTTGAATTCTCTCACAAACACAAACTACTCCAGTCGCATGGCTACGTGGTCGATATAGCAGCAGTTAGTGCGGCAGAGCCGACAGCTGGCATGCAGTCATAATATTCCTCACTCACTTAACTTGTCGGAGCTTGGGTTTCGCACTGTGAAAAATAGCCAGGCCATGTGCATTATTCACCAGGCAGCTGGGATCAGGTGCTGATCAAAGCATAGAGCCGGTGTATTGTGCAACTTTTTTGTTTGGGAGTTCTTTTACTTTGGTAACTGAAACAGATCCTACAGTTAGAAACCATCCCAACTATCAAAGGTTACTAAAAAGTCTGGAAAGGAAACGTGTTCGTCATGTAGGTTTTTGGCCGTGTGGTTCTCCGGTTACACTTTATCAAATATAGTGATCCCATAAAATTTTAACTGTCTCCACTGTATCTATTTGCATATCTGTGACCCTATCTTCACAGGAAGCAGGACGGTACCCTGCTTATAAGGAGATGGTGGCAGAATACAGATGGCTTAATAAATGTATGTACGTTTTTTTTTTTTCTTCTAAAGTTTTCTTCTGATCTGTTTATATCAGAGTGAATTTATCCTTTTAAATCGTTTAATCTTTCTTTATTAGTGGCCAATGGTACTCAGAAGCCTTCCTCCCAGGGCTCAGAATCCTCTTCAGCCTCTTCTCTGTCATCTGGGACTCCGGTGAGCTCTCTGAGCGGCCTGTCGCAGGTCATGTTCCCGCCCAGCCTGCCATTTGGTTCTGACATGGTGGACGTGTGCATCTCCACCGAGGACCAGAGGTCTGTGTCTGGTTTGTTTCCCCTTTAGAAGCACTCAAGCTAAAGTTCTTCTGCAGACCACACAAGATATGATGCTGATAGTTCTTATGTTCAGGTCTGAGTCAGAGCAGACAGAGACTGCCATTCAGACAGATCTACCTCTGAGATCTGGGACAGACACCACTCGCAGCCTGGGACGGACCACTCTGCTCAAAGACACGGTGATTCGTGGAGAGGAGAGCAAAGGGAAGAAATTGTCTCCCAAAACAGCCGTGCTGCTGGCTCTTAGCAGGCCAAGCCGACCCATCACCAGGTCACAGAGCCAAGTGACTGTGTCAGGTGAAAGTGAAGCAGAGTGAAATATATCAAAATGAAATGGTTAAACGGTATAGTAAATAACCTTCTGTTACTACCCCACCATAGAGATAAAGCAGAAAAAAGAGAAGAAGCAGAAAGGAAAGGACCCCGAGGAGAAGAGCACCCTGCAGCGCTCGAAGACCTTCGTTAACTTGCTTTTCAAGGGTGGACGGAAGAGAGACACTTCAAGGGGGCGTTCAAAGTCCCCGTCCAAAGACAAGGCTGGGAAAGGTAGCTGCCTTGCTTTTCATTGCTACAGTGACATTCACATTATTCACAAACTGAAAATGAGATGTGTGGCCAGCGAAGATGCTAAAATATCTTCTGCAATTAAAAAAGCAAACGAGAAATAACATGAAGCAAATAGAGAGCAGATACCTGTCAAGGCTGAAAATGTCTTCATATCGCATGTGATTTGAGTCCATAGATTCAAATTTGTTTGTGATGTTTCCTTTATATCAAGATATCTTCCAATTTTTCTTATTTTAGTTTAAGTGTATTTTTGAAGAAATGATGTGAAATATGTTCCAATTTGTCACAGAAAGAATCGTTTTTTTCCTAGATCACTTTGTTGGATCAAGCATCAGCTCTAGTATAATTTCCACACACGCCTCACTTTATTCTTTTTGAGTAATCCTGCTAGCAAACAGACAAACTGAAACAATCACTGGACAGTGGAAAAAACAGGAACTTTTCAGTCATCTAATTGTTTATTTATTAGCTAATTACTTTGGTGTATGGTGAATTGTCATGGGGGAGGTCTTCATCAGCAAGAAAAGCAATAAAACTTATGAAAATACAGTTAAGAAGTACTAAGTTTAATCCCCTCTTTACATTTCCCGGTACCATCCAGTGGGCCAGATTGAAGTCTTTGGTGGTTGCCTGATTTAGACACACATACTCAAGATTGATTCCACTCTGCAATGTTTTTAGATGGAGCACGGGCTGGTGAGATGCCAAATTCAGAGATGCTTGGAGTGGTGGAGGACATGGCCCGCAGGCTGCTGACTGAGGAGGAAGTGGCTGCTGTAATGAAGATGTGCAGAAGGGTAGGACGCCGAGTTAAAATCTGTAGGCATACTGAGTGTTTGTGTGTAGACCTCTGTAGTGTCCTCATCCAAGGGAGTAATAAATGCCTTTTTGTCAGATGCCACTAAAAATGTGTATCAATGTTTTAACAAAAAAAACAAAAAACCAGGATTCATTAATATTTTCTTAGCGGAATTTGTTTGTTTTCTCCAACTAAATTTCAAACTACCTTAGATCATGAGTGCACATATGGTGAAAGTCAGGCTGTCTTTTACTGTCATCCATTCCACAGAAACACTTAGGAAAACTGGATCTTCTTCACAGTCCTCCTCAGATGTGATAGTTTCAGTTAATTTTTCCATATATTGTGAATTGTGGGCGTGGCAATTTTACTGTGTTTCTGATTCACTGACATACACATGTTGGTAAGAACAAAATAGGCTGGTGTGCAGGTGTCTTTAATCCAGTGGTAAATTTGTATGTACAATTACTTTGTGTTTGTGAAATTGGAACATTTCTACACAGTGATTAGTGAGTGAAGCCAAGGTGCATTTATGCTTTGGCTGATGAGAGGTAACAGTCCTGCTGTAGAGACCTGCAATGTGTTAGCGTAGCTGTAGCAGTAGTCTTAGGTTTAGCAGGCAGGAGAAAAGAACACTTTATTGTTTAGGGATTTTTCATTGGCATGAAAACAGGCCAGTTCGCAACATTAACCATGCATGGTGTAAAATCACTGGATAATTGTGAAGTACTGTCTCACTGATGTCATAAGTTGGTGTGTCAGGGCAAAGATGCTAAAGGACACCTT